AAATAGAAGAGAAATATTGAAATAAATGGAGTCAGACACAATTTATGGTAGCATGCTCACCTCAACCCTGCTTGGTGGTCTACTGGAGAGAGAGAGAGAATCTTTAATGCTAACCAAGGCTTTTATATTCTCTGGGGACATGCAAGCCCCCTAATTACTGGGGCAGACATACGTCATAGGAAGGGGTTGTGCTATAGGTAATACAGTAATGGGAGGGGTGATCTAGGGGTATCCACGCAATAGGAAGAGGAGGGATTGGGGGTATACATGTGGCAAGATGGGCGGATCCTGGAATCAGGATGGCAGCTTAACTTTGGATGTCGTAGAGCCAGTTTGACCTGTTCCCAGGCTCAAACCATAGAGATTACTATCTATCAGTAGTGTGTGAACTCCACCTATAGGAACCAAGCTAATGGTCGCAAGCCTCAGGGAGAAATAGTCCATTGTCCCCAGCAGCAGGGAGCAGGGCCTACTGGGTAGTCTGGCGACTGACTGTCTTTAGGGAGGATATCTGTAAGCATCTGCCCTCCCCCCACAAGGGGGCTTGTACACACTTATCACCATCCATCCATCCATCCATCCATTGTGTCAAGCACAATTGTACATTTGTTGCCATCATCATTTTCAAAACATTTTCTTTCTACTTCAGCCCTTGGTCTCAGCTCATTTTCCCCTCCCCATCCCCCACCCTCCCTCCCTTATGAACCCTGGATAATTTTTAGATTTTTTTTCATGTCTTACATTGACTGATTCTTTAATGCCCCTCCCCTCCACTATCATGACCCCAATTCTACCTTACAAATCCAGCCAGACCAGCGCACATGCATGGGAATAGTTAAGAGCTGGAAACACAGGGAATCCAGGACAGATAAACCCCTGAGAGTAGCCATACCAGGATGGTAAGGGGAAAGTGAGGGGAGAAAGGGGAACTGATCACAATGATCTACCTATAGCCCCCTCCCAGGGGCATGGACAACGGAAAGTGGGAAAAGGGAGACATTGGTCAGTGTAAGACCTCCTTGCTTTCTTATGATCTGTACTAGTCTGGTAGGCACGGTTTAGCCTTTATGAATGAGTGTTGTTGAAAATTTTGCCCTATTACTAACTCCATTGTTTGTATAAATTGTGTCCAGTTACTTAAGACTTTAATCTGTACAAATCAACAATTCATGTATTGTGTTCCGAAGCTGGCCTATACTTACATAATTTCCTTTTCTCAACAGTATTTTAAATTCTATACTATTGGCTAAAATAATGACACTATCAATAGAATTACCTTATGTCTCAGGGAGATGACTTATATTGTTCTTTACCATAGGATGATAATGATGTCTTTAAAGCGAACCACAGACACATATATGAATACATTTTGGAGTCACTAAACTCATTCTAGTCTCAATCTAAGGACAATTAGTTCTTATATCTTGGTCCTACTTGATACTTGCCCTGATGAAGAGATCACTGAAGAAACCAGGTAAGGTTGGGCTATCAGATAGGATTGGGCACCTGGCTATCAGAAAGAACAAGCAGCCAGCTTTGCAAGACAGCTACTAAGTTCACAAGGAAGAAGCATACCAGCCTGTATGATCCAAGGATTTTTCATAATAAAATCCAGATCTGAAGGAGGGGATGGTATGAGAGCTTACATTGTGAATGACTGGTTTTCAGAATGCAGTGGAAGCCAAAATCCATTGGCAAGGTCTCCGGTGAATCCATCTGAACATTGTCCATGGATGTGAGTGAGTATCCTAGCTATCAGACAGAGAGCATTGTAAAATCAATTTTGACATGTATACTTAGTTACTTTTGATTCATTTTAAAGTTGTTCCTGTTTTCAATAGTTTCTGCTTTCTTTTCATTCTTTTTAAAAAACAAATAAATCATTTTATTGAGGGCTCTTAAAGCTCTCATAATCCATACATCAGTTGTATCAAATACATAAGTTGCCAGCATCATTTTCAAAACATTTTATTTCTATTTGAGCCCTGGGTATCAGCTCCTCTTTTTTCCCTCCACCCACTGCCCCTCATGATCCCTTGATAAATTATAAATTATTATTTTCATATTTTATACCGTCTGCTGTCTTGCTTCACCCACATTTCTGTTGTTCGTCCCCCCTTGGGGGAGTGGGTTGGGGTTATACATTTATTATTGAGATCGGTTCCCCTTTCTCCGCCTTGTCTCCCCACTTTCCCCCTACCCTCATGATATCTCTACTCCCATTACTGTTCCCGAGGGGTTTATCTGTTCTGGATTCTGTGTATCAAGAGCTCTTATCTGTACCAGTGTACATGCTCTGGTCCAGCCGGATTTGTAAGGTCGAACCAGGGTCATGATAGGTGTGTGTGTGTGTGTGTGTGTGTGTAAGCATTAAAATAGAGAAATCTTGTGTGTTTCCTTAGAACTATGCCACACCCTGGCTGACTTGTCCCTTTCTTGTGACCCTTCTGTGAGGGGATGTCCAATTATCTACAGATGGGCTTTGGGCCTCCACTCCATGTGGGCTTTATTGCTTCCCTGGTAAAGATGGCCGCTTGTTTAACTTCAAGCCTTTAAGACCCCAGACGCTATATCTTTTGATAGACAGGCACCATCAGCTTTCTTCACCACATTAGCTTATGCACCCATTTTGACTTCAGCAATTGTATCGGGAAGGTGAGCATCACAGAATGTCAGTTTATTAGAACAAAGTGTTCTGGCATTGAGGGAGGACTTGAGTAGAGACCCAATGTCCATCTGCTGCTTTAATCGTTAGCATATAAATATGTGTGCAAAGACCTATATTCCTATCATTATATATTAATATCTTTACATATATACATACTGTGGTAGTTACATAATCTGTTGTCAATTTGAGAGAGACGTAAGAGTGAAGGGGTAGAGTTTAGCCTGTCAATAAGGTCACAGTTTGATTGGAAGGCAAAGAGATAAAAAGCTCGCTGGAGGCAGGACACAGGCTCACTCCCTGGGAGACATTTCTGAGGAGAAGCACATGGACCAACCCCCGTCCCCCCACCCCCACCCCCCCATGCAGCCCTGGGAGTTGGAGAAGCCACGTGGAGACCCCTGCCAGTGCTGAGATGCTTACAGCGCCACTGGATTCACAAGACTTCCCACCCACTGGCCTGTGATTTTCCTGCATTCAGCCTGATTGCATGTGTTTCTTGATACTGAAGGACTTTATAGATTGGTATTGGACATATGGGCTAATATCGGACTTATGGACTTGATCTGCACTGGGCTGGGATGTTTTCTCAATATTCAGTTGCTCTTGTATAAAGCTCTTTCCCAGACACATATGAATGGCTCTATGAATTTGTTTCTCTAGTCTACCAGACTAACACACATGCCTATATTTAAACCTCTATAAATGTCTTTTGCCTCCATGGAACATGGAAGCAATCTAAGAGGGAGAGGGAGAGGGAGAGAGGGGGAGGGAGAGAGAGAGAGAGGGAGATAGAGAGAAAACCTCATCCTGGTGACACAGTGTGGGAGTTGTGCCTGGTCTGACCCTGCCACACTGAAGCGAAACACAAAGTGAGCACAACAGAGCAGCAAGGGGAGCAAAGCAACCAAGTCCCCGAGGAATGCTGAAAACAGACTTCCGACTTGGGGGGGCAGCGCTTGGCACCTCATCAGACCTGGTCAGAAAACACACATAAGGGCCAGCAGACAGACCTGGAACTATTTATAGGCTTTTATTGTTCCCCCTCTCATGCCTATCTATATAAGATAGGTAGGATTGTTTACAATCCAGCGGAGAAAACAACAGCACTGACGGTACTGGGGAGACATGGGAGAGGAGGAGGTGGGAGAAAGAGGGGGGAGCCAATAAACTCAGGGACAAGGGAACAATAAGGGATCTAAAATTGATCGTGAGGAGGGGGTAGAATCGATACTGGGGTTTGATCAAGGGTAATGTAGCTGAGAGGACTTACTGCTTTCCTTTCTATTGAGGTTTTTTCTGTTTTGTCTAGTCAATATTGTTGGGTTTGGGTTTTTTTTGCTTCCTGTTCGTGTTTTGTATCATTTTCTGTATATGAAATTCAGGATAGGTAAATCTATAGCGACAACAACTAGATTAATAAATATCTAGAGGCAAAGCAGAGGAGAATGGGGGCAATGGGGAGCTAACAACAATGAGTATGAGAAGAGAATGTTCTGAAATTGATTGTGGTGATGATTGTACAAATCCTCTTAATATAATTGAATGATTAAATTGTATAGTATGTGAAGTATATGCCAATAAAGCTATTTAAAAATAGTTGAATAAATTTTATGTAGCATGGCAACTAGGAAATAAGAACAAATATATGTGCAGCTACTCTATGAAATATTAAAATATATGTGCCTCCACTCTATGAAATATTAAATTATATGCGTAGATACTCTATGAAATATTAATTGAGGGGGCAGGAAACATTAGAGCTGATTGTGATGATGTACATACAAGTCTTTTTAGAAGCAGTTTAACTATGAAAGTGTATGATATATGAATATTACATTGAGAAAACTACTTGAAAGAAAAGAAACCAGACTTGACCTATGGTTACTCTGGGTAAAGGAGTTAGAGTTTTTGCTTTGCTTAGGGGACATTGAGTTCATTTTAATAATGGTGAAACAATTTGGAGAGGGATATTAATAATGGTTGTATAACGCGATGAGTATAATCAATGGCACTGAATTATACATGTAGGAGTTGTTGAATTGGAGAATGCTTGGTTGTATCTATTTTTGCTAAAATTAAAAAAAATTCATGAATAACAAGGTATACAGGCAAAAAGAAAATGTTCTAAAACGTATTGTGGTAAAAATGGTGTACTGTACAACTCTTCAATATGGTTGAACTATTGAATTTTATGATATGTGGATGAAGTGCTAATGAAACTCTTAAAAAATATTAACTGAGCAACAAGATTCCATATATTAAATAGAAGGTTTTACAAATCATTTTATTGGGGGCTCATACAACTCTGATCACAATCCATACATACATTCATTGTTGAGCACATTTGTACATTTGTTGCTATCATCATTCTCAAAACATTGGCTTTCTACTTGAGCCCTTAGTAGCAGCTTCTCATTTAATTAAAAGTTTCATATTTTCATTTAAAATAGAAATTTCACCATATAACTATAAACGATGACACTCATGGTAACCTAAATTTCTCCTTATGTGGCATGACATCAAATGGCACATAGCAACAACATTGAAGAGTGGGAAAACTACATCGTCAGGGTTCCCACTCTGTTTAAGAGATCTTCTGTAGGTGCTGATGAAGGTCATGATTTGGGGCTTTGAAGTTTCATTCTTGGATGTGAAGAGCTCTTCTCAGGCAAGGAGGAAGCTAAGAACAACAGGTACCATGGCCAATAGCCAAGTTGCACTCCCATGTACTCCAAAGGAACGGGCTGAAAAAACAAGAAAATACCAGACTCCTAGGTGACTTGATTACTGCGAGTGTGGAGGCAGGGCTCTGGGTAGAGGAGTGGGGCTTAAAAAACATGACCTGGGAGGTTGTAGAGCAAAGGGATGAGTCTCTTCCCTGGATCTAGTTTCAGTGTGCCTGGAATACCTATTTACTGAGAGAGGAACACCATAGATATAAAATATAAAGTGCAGGAATCCCTTACATAGCATTGATTCAGCTGGAGGAATCCATGTTTGGAGGAATTACTTTGGTATCTCTGTGGGTCTGGGGAAGACTGACTGCTGCTTTAGGCAGCCATGAGGCCGGGAAGAGCTTAGGTGTAGGCAAATAATGCTATGCACAGCTGATTTAAGGGACGGAAGGACTGCTTGTCATTTCCATTTCTCCACCCCTCAAACCACATGCCCAAACTAGGTGGAAAGGGGAAAGCGAAAGACTAGAAAGAAGGATAGAAGGGATGGAAGGATGGAAAAAGAAGGGAAGGGAAGGGGCAAAGGGAATGAGGGAGGAAGGCAGGGAGACAGGAAGGAAGATGGAAGAGGAGAGCAGAAAGAAGAACTCAAGGGATGAAGAGAGAAAAGACGAAAAAGGAACAAAAGAAGGGAAACAGGGATGGATGACAAAATACATGCAAGCAGATTAGGAGTATTTCTAGGATGGTTTGGGGTTGCTAAAAAGTGACAAGATAGGGGTAGCCCTTTCAAACAAGTGAATATATAATGATTTTTCATCAAACCATTTCATATTATTATTTTCAACATCTGTCTGTGAAGGAGCAGCCTCAACCAATTTCATAAGCAACCCAAATTGTGCCTTTTCCCACTGATGGCTCTCAGAATAAGGTAATGCTATGAAGGTGGTATGAAAACCCTTCCATCAAGTTGTGGTCTCATAGTCAGACACCCAAACTAAGTCACATTGGATCTGGGGTTACAAAGCAAGAGAGGCTAAAAGGCCCATGAATAGTTAGTTGGGCAGGATAAAGAAGAGTACAAAGTTGCAAAGTCCAGGTGTGGAAACGGAGACAGAGAAATACACATCAGTTGGAAGGATAGACTGGGTCCCATAGGATCATGAGAAAACAATGTAATCCCTAAAGATTAAACATGCCAGGGACTGGCATACAAATTCTGGCACCACGGGTATGAGTTATTTTAAACGACTGCGCAACAAAGCCTCGATGATGTAACTTTGGAAGTATGGGTGGGGAATACAAGACTTGGAATGCTGGCAAGATGACCCTATTTTATTAGGCTGTTCCTAAAGCCCCTAGTGCAGTGGTTCTCAACCTTTCTAATCCCATGACCCTTCAATAGAGTTCTACATGTTGTGGTGACCCCCAACCATAAAGTGATTTTCGTTGCTACTTCAGAACTGTCATTTTGCTACTGCTATGAATCAGGCGACCCCTGTGAAAGGGTCATTCGACCCCCAAAGGGGTCGCGGCTCACAGGTTGAGAACCGCTGTCCTAGCGTCTCCAGACTTCAAGGGGTTGAGTCTAATTTAGTTACCATTCACCAGGGACTTGTTAAGTGATAGGCGCTGGGCGGGGTAGGTTACATGGATTGTGTCATTCAACCCTCTTTATATGAGAGAGAAACTATTATTTTGTCTTTTACTTAAGAAGAGCATGGCGTAGAGAAGTTAAGTAATTTGTCTGTATACTAAGTGACAGCTCAGGCCTAGCTCCAGGTATAACTCACTCTGAAGCCTATGGTCTTATCTACCTCATTCTAACACAGAACCTCTCCATAGGTTCTCAAATTTATTAGACCTCCTGCTGCCCCCTTTGTTGAAAAAGATTCCTCAATGCATCACCTCCCTCCCCCTCCCCTCCCAGCATTTAAAAATGCCCATAATCCAGGAAAAAGCAAATTGCCTGCTTCTGCAGCCCTGCTGGGTCATTCCTGTGCCCTCCAAGGGTGGCATTGTCCACTGTCTACACCAGGGGTCCTCAAGCTATGACCCGGGGGCCACATGCGGCCCTCCGAGGACATTTATCCGGCTCGCCCGGTGTTTTTCCCCCTTTTGCTTTTTTACTTCAAATTAAGATATGTGCAGTGTGCATAGGAATTTGTTCATAGTTTGTTTGTTTGTTTTTAAACTGTAGTCTGGCCCTCCAACGGTCTGAGGGACAGTGAACTGGCCCCTGTTTAAAAAGTTTGAGGACCCCTGGTCTACACCATGCACAGGAGGGGCAGTCTTTCACTCCTGGCCATTATTCCTGCTCGAGCCCATCCACTGGGTCCTTCCTTCCTTCTCTGATTGAGACTGTCCACCAGGAGTGATGCTATCCTGCTCAAAATGTCTCAATTTTCCTCCGGAACTTTGGACTGATAGCCCGCTTGTTGTTTTTCTCCCTGCTCATGTTGATGATCCAGACCGTTCTATAATGACCCTGGCCTCAGATTGTAGGGCCTTGCCTTTCTAGATCTGTGGGGACCATCAGATATCTGATGCCTTTGCAGATGGAGACACAGAGCCACAGGTGAGCTTGCTGGGAGGTGACGGCAGAACTGGAGCAGGACTCCAATCTCTCCTGCACACAGGTGCCTTTGGGTTTCTCCACCTGGGTGTACTCCAAGGCTTAGTAAGAGCCCACAGCCTTCTTCATGGAGGAGAAGACAGGCTACCTGCGCTCACCGCATTGGCCCAAATGCCTCAGGGAGAGAACTCTTACCCAGAATACAAGGTGAAGTGAAATAGGCCGTGTCGTTCTTGCTGCTCACAGGGTTGCTGACTTGGCAGGTGTAAGACCTGGAGTATGTTTCTGGCGTGTGGGTGATTTCAAGTGCTTTGTCCTGTGGAAGGGGTCCCGAGTCCCCATGCCAGGTGTAGTTCACAGGCTGGTCCTGGGTCTCACAGAATAGCTTCACCTGGCAGGTGCTGTTCTCGCTCTTTTCCACCTCCACTGTTATGGTGGGCTTGGACACACGGTCTGAAGATGGGAAGAATGTCATAAGATAATCAATGAATTTTTTGCATTGATAGGGATTTTATTTCTCAAGGGTCAAGCCAGAAAAATTCAAGGGAGATGGGGAGGCCTCCTGCGTGCCCATAGTGGGAAGCAAGAAGTCATGAAGAAGAGGTAACGCATGAACAACTTTAGCCTCGGGAAAGTTCATCCAGCAAGAGCTAGTCCTTGGCTAGGAAGCTAAGCTGATGCAGGAGAAGGAGTCAGCGCCCATTATATAAACTCAACACAAACAATGTAGTCATGCCCCTCTGTGAGCCAGAGAGAGTGGCAGAAGGCTGATTTAGAGATCTTCTGGGATCACACCTGGTATTCCAACTGTCTGAACTGCTCAAACCCCTTCTTTAGCAACAACTCTTAGTTAACACATTAGCCTTTCTGTTATTCAGGATTTCTTTGGCTCAGTCTCTTAGGTTCAGATTCAGAGCGAATCCTAGGGTCGAAGGTACTGACCCTTAAATAAAACAAAAGCCTTAAATAACTACTGGCCAGGATGCTAGGCTCCTGGACTCTAGCAGAGCTATAGGAAAGCATCTCAGATGGGCCCCAACACAAGCTAGTCATGGTGAGCAGCATTGTACCTGTGTGTTAATGTTGGTATCCTAGGGTCTAACACAGGGCATGCCACAAACTGGTGTTGTCTAAGTGTCTGATGAAATGATAGATGAATGAAGCCCTGAGGTGATAGAATTGGATCTTAGATTTGTCTGTAGTAGAGTAACATTGGAGTTGAGCCCCATGAAGTTCCTTTTCCTCATTTGTGAACGCATCCTGTTTCACAATGTTAGGGAGATAAAATTACATCCTACATGAAGGAGAACTTTTGTTCAAAGTTTAAATGTTTCCTTCATGTTTGAGGTCATATTCTTGTCACAATAAGCTGTTGCTGGATGATGAACCAGGCCTGTGCAGACGTCTGAACAGCTAGGTGCAGTTAACATCTAGTGTGGTCACATGTTTTGTCTTAGTATGTAGTTTATAGTGTACCTTTCTGTGCATGTGTGTTGGACAGGGTTCTCTAGAGAGATAAAACCAGATTGCTGATAATTTTATATATATTTATAAAGATATATATATATATATAAAACACAAGAAATGAACTGTTAAATTATAAACAGATAGATATGTAATACAAGAAATGAACAGTTAAATTATAAAGCAGTACAAATGGCTCAGTGCAACTCACTCC